TCTCTCTGTGTCTGTTCAGAGGAAATGGTTTTGTTCAGAAGATCTGATACACATGAGAAATCTTTATAAAATGCCTTCTACAAACAAGAATTTACAGTAACACTTACAGCACTCATGCACCAGAATGAAAATAATCCAAAACAGCATGAATCACCATGAACAAGCGTCCAGTCTCTTAAAATAAAAATATAATTCCATCTATTCTGGTACTCACTTTTAACGTAATTTTTCATTTGAGTTTGCTACAGAGCCACACTTCTCCCTTTTAGAAAGCTTTCCACTAATCACAATCACCAGATTGATGCTTAAAACATCACCAAGTCCTTTTCCTTCATGTCAGAAATTTTTTTGTAACTGAAATAGTGGAGGAGCCATGGGTTCCATAGAGTCCACAAGAGGCCTTACTACTGCTGCATGGTTTTCCATGAAAAGTTATCAGCCACTGCAGTATGTGCCCTGAACAGCCAACTTAAGAAATACTGGAATGAAGATTGTAAGAAAACTTGACTGGAATAAATACTTGTAACCTCTTGTGAATTTGCTGTGGTATTCCCGATTTACCACATGGAGCTGTGTACTAAACAGAATCAATAATTTGGTGGTTCATCCTAACTTCTGCTGGATTAAGCTACTCTGTTGTTTTGTCACAGCTATGGCCCTATTTTCTCTCCTAATTTGTTGTGCTTGCTCAGTGAAATTGAATTGCATGCTGTTTCAGGCAAGGCTTGGAGAAGTTGTTTTCCTCAGTGCAGATGGCTCTTTCCTCCAGATGTGGAAGGCAGTTAAGAGCTGCCTCATTTTTTTCTTAACCCTTCTGAACCATCTGGAAGTGCCCTTGATGCTATGGCTGCAGTAGTGCTGTGGATCTTACCCTATAGCTGATTTTCTTGTGCCTGTGATCTGTCATGCATGCCAGTCACAGCTCTGGCCCCTTATATAGGTTGCTTTGGTTTATTTGGTTTGTGTTCTTGTCTGTTTTATCAAGGACAAAAGTAAAATTCAGGAGCTCAGCAGCCCCTGGGAGATGTCCCTGCTGGAAGCTCTTGGGGCGGCTTGGCGCCAGTGAGGGTGCAGCCCCTGGTGTTTGCAGCTGCAGATGTTCTAGCCTTGCATCTTCAGCCCAAAGCAGTCAAGGAGATCCTGTACCCTGACCATTTCCCTTCACCCTGCTTGTTTCATTTGGGAACACAATGAGCTGTCAAAATTTCCTGTCTTGTTACCACAGAATTCCTTCCTTTTGCTCTAAAAAGGATTATTTATCTAAAACTGCTAATTGTATAAATTGTCAGAACAACTGCTTAAGTTGATTTTTAAGGTGGAGACAAAGAGATGTGAAAGTCTGGTGGACTGATTAAAGTCAGCCAAAGCAGAAAAATTAACACTGAGTGTGTTGCCATGGATGGCCCTTGCCTCTTGGAAACTAAAACTCATGTGGTAAGTTGTATATCTGGTGCAATCCCTGTTCTTAGTCTTTCTGTTGAGTGTACTTAGAAGTAATTAAAAGTAATAGGGAAGTATATAAATATTTTCCAAATACAAGAGCCAAGAAAAAATGGAGGAAGGGAGGTGTGGTCGTTTCAGCCCACCACCACTTCCTAACTAATCTTTCTCTAATGATGTAGAGAGAGACTAGGTGGCACCTGGTGAAGTATTTTGAAATAGTAGATTCATGAGGTAGAGCTACTTGATAACATCTTTGACTCATCAGAAACTTGCCTTCCCTCAGGATAAAGTTAATAATCATATAAATATATAAAGATTTTAGTGGCTTTTCCTAAGTCAACAGGGATGCAGATTTATTCTGCATACAGATTCCTGTAGTGCTAGAGACAACCCAAAATTATGCTGTCTGTAAAAAATGTCAAATTACACAAATAGCCAGTTGGAATCACCACTAATTTGTCATGACTTCAGTTCCTGGCTTTGCTAGTTCAGTAAAACCCATTTACATTTCTTACTAATTGCATCAATAGCTCCCTTGCTTTCCCTCTCTTTGCTAAAATTGCTTTCAGTAGTGTACATAAGCATCTCATTTGGCTCGTCTGTAGTTCTATATGAGACAGCAGCACCATGGAAAGAAGCTGGGCTACCAGGAACATCCAGGTTACCAGGCCACAGAGCAGTTGGGACAGAAAAGGTGACAGCAGCAGTGAACTTAATTTAAAATAGCTGTGGCTGTTAATACCTGGTATCCCCCAGCATTGTGTTATCATCAAGTATCAGTAGTGCTCTTCTATGTCAAGATCATCAGTGAAACTCTTTTAGGACCATTCCCAGCATGAATTTTCTAAATACCATGGAGATCATGGAGTAATTGTTCCCAAGTAAACGTTTCCTTTCAGTGCACCGTGTTATCTTCTTATTTTTAGTCTTCAGTTCTTGTACTCATCTCTTCACTTCTCTAGTATGTTTAACAAGGTCCATACGGTTGAATTGCACTACAGTATTGCTTTCTTTTCCTTTTGTCTAAGAGTTAGCCATTTTATTTGAGGTAATTAAGTATCTTGCATGGTCTACTTTTGGTAAGCCCACCTTGTGTTTTCTTTGGTGTTACACTTGTCTACTTACCTTTACTGTTCTCTTCCTCAAAATTTGGGGTCACACTACTGAGATCAGAGTTAAGCAATCTTTTTGAAAGATGACTGTATATGATTTTCTTTCTCTCTAGTACTATGGTACTTTCTCTGATTTGATTTGATTTGATAGATGTATTATTTCATGCCTAGAAAGAATATCAGTCTTGCTATCATGTGCTTTGCGTGTTTTTGAAGATTTTCGGAGTCTGAATTGATACATATATTTTTATTTTTTTTAATGTCTCTGCTGATACATTCACAAATGACATGTTTATCAGTGTGTAATGCAGGGGATTACTTGCAGATTCCTGTTAATTCATTGGTGCCTGCAGAAAAACAAAAAGCGTCGGTCAAGGCATGCTCTGAATTCACACCCGTTGTTAATTTGCTGCTGCCTGTATTAGTAGCAGGCTCAAGCCTGCCTGATTTTTTTGAGTTTATATAATGTGCACCGTATGCTTGCCATTCGTACTCTTTCTGCACACGTGAGCCAATCTGATGGGCTTACCTGTGGCAGGGAGCAATGCTTTTAAGTCTGGGTGCTGCTTCATGGGCTCTGGCTTGTGGGTGCTGATGAATCCTGCGTCGGTGTTTTAAAAACTCTCCAGCTATTTGCTCCACCCTTCTACTCTTCAGCGCAAGGATGGCGGGGGGATGGGCTCATATGCCTTCATTGCCACAATTACATTGCAGCTAATCTTAAACTGCTTTAAGATTAATAATTCCATGGCATTAATAAGCCTTTGAAGTGGAACAGCTGAAGAGCAGGTAGAGGTTTGTACCTTCTGCCCCTGCTGTCAGGAGGGGTAAGTGGGGTCAACAACAGCTTGAGTTGTTTTTGACTTGTTCCTCACAGTGGTTGGCAAGCAGGAGATGAGAACAGGGAACAAGTGTTCTGTCTCTGGGAACAAAAAAGCAAAGTGAAAGTAAGGGTGAGAGAACCTAGATTTAGATTTATAATCAAAAGTGACTGTGTTTGAAATAGTCTTAATTTGCATGCACTCTCTTACGATGTCTTTCATATCTCTAAGGACCCCTAGAGGGCACGGAAGTTTTTCTCCACCTCAAGTATTTAACTTAATAATTCTACTCGGCTTTCTTTCCTTAAACATAATTGTAAGCACATTTTAAGCGAGCATTAGATAGAAAAAAAATAACAGCATTTAACTAGGTCCTTCTTTGATGGTACAAGGTGTTTTGTTTTTAAACACAAGCAGTAGAAGCTAGCACTAGCAGCCAAATTCTTAAATTATTGTTGTTTAGATTAGTCAGATGCTATATTTGTATCCCGGAGGAAATGCAATTCAAACTAACTAAAAATTCATACTCTATTGCAAACTTTGAGAGGACTACAGTGTGAGCTGTGTAAGGATGTGCAGTGGGTATGCTTTCAGCACTGTGGTCTCTGTTTCTGTAGAAGAGGAATTAGTATGGTGAAGAACTAGTGTCCTCTAACTTAGAACCTCACAGTCTCCTAACTTCATCTTACTTAAGAACTTCTAATATTTTGGTCTTGTTAATTGCCTGTAAAGAAACAATTACATTGCACTACAAGATACTTAAAATTATGGAAACATTAAAATGACATCTGCTTTCCTACTACATCCTGTCTACTTGGATAGAGGTTTTGTAACTCCTGCTCATGCTGAGGAGCATTTTTCTCCGTAAATTAGTTTTGCCTATTTCATCAATATTGCTTGGTAAGTTAGGAGCTAGTCAGTGTGCATTGCACAACAATACTAATTCTTAGTACTGTGTTGGCACTTCATGATCTTTAAATATGCACACTAACACTCCAGAGTACTACTTATCTGAGAACATCAGGTTTTCACTTACATAAAACAGCTGCAGTGTTTGAGGAGAAAGTTTGCTTTTTCCAGAGTGCTCAAAGAGCAGAAAGTAAAACAAAAACAAACAAACAAACAAACCACTCATCCAAGAGCAAAAACATCTTCATACTTTTTTGGAGGGATTTTTTTCATCAACTAATGATTTTGAGACCAGTCCCACAACTTTGGAGGTCAGTTGGATTGGGGGGAAAGTCCAGTGTTGGAACCGCTGTATGTGAAGCCATGACACTCAGTGTCCTACCTGTTCTTGGCTGAGAAAAAAACCCAGATGTCTGCACTTTTTGTGAAGCAGTGAGTCTTCTTGCTGGGCAAGAAGTTGTTCAGTAGGATAATGTTGTGGTTTAATCCCAGCCAGCAATGAAGGGTTTTTTGTGTCTTTGTTCTGATAAGAGGATCAGCTGTACTGCTTTACCCAATTACTCAGGGATGTCATGGGAGATGATTTTTTGGACCTTAGTTTTCCCACTGGAGATGTGTAATGTCGTCACTTTGTATTAAAAAATAGATCTAGATCAAAACAGCAGAGAAAGGCAGCTGCCCCTTCTAATGTCTCTGGGGCTTTTGTGTTTTGCAGGAGATGCACGGGTGAGAGGTCAGACAGGGGTTGTCTCCGAGCGCCGTGGCTCCTACCCATTTATAGACTTCCGTCTTCTTAACAGTAAGTACAACCCTTCTTTCAGATCTGTATGTAAATAAAAATAAATAAAAGTCTCTATTGAAAGTATATGAACCAAACTTTCTCATCTCATACGAATCTGTAGCTCAGCTGTCTTCACACGTTCAGCATTAATTCCATTATTTCCACTCAGTGTCTGGCTGTGAAATATTTTGATTGTGTGAACAGTCCATAATGCTCGATCTGTCAAATGTAAATACAGTAGGGCCATGGGGTGTGCTAGGGAAGGACCAGGGGCAGTTCTGAATTAAAAAGATAAACCTCTGTGTCCTTCAGCCTCTTAGACAACAGTTGGAACAGATTTATGTGAAGCTGTTATCCGGTCATATAGAATTGGCACAGAAGGGGAGCATGTGACAGCACTGACCAGTGGTTTACAATAACATTAATTTTTCCAACAATTAGAACCCAATCCAAAGCCCCATGGAGTCTTCTCATTGACGTCAGTGGATTTTGGGTCAGGCCAGCAGTGAACATCTGTTAAAAATAATCTTAACCTCATTTTGATTGAAGTTATTTTGCCAGTGTTGTAAATAAATGATAGCAAATATAAAAGGAAAAAAATAAATTGAGATCCTGTTGGGTTTTTTTTCACCTGATGGACTCTCTATACTGATGCAAACCCATTTGCGAGTGTGTAAAAAAGAAAATAAAAAGAACAGTGGCCACTTAGTCTTGGGCCCTGTATCACTCAGCCTGGTTGCTGTGTTAACCTCAGTGTTCAGACACAGGCAGATCTCGATGTGTCCTTGTGTACTGCACAAGCAACCTTTGAAAAAATTGTTACTTGCTGTCTTCATCAAAACAGACTGGAACTCCAGCAGTTTCAGTGCTGACCCTGTTAACGCTTCTAGCAATTGTGCTTTTCATCAAAGAGCAAGTGTCAAAGTTTGAATTCTCCTTTTTGTCCCTACTTTTCTGGGTGCCTGGGGAAGGGAGGGGAGGGAAGGGAGTAGGGAGGAAGCAAAGCAGGAAGGCTGGCTGGGAGTCAGGAGTAAAGAGGAGCTGGGGAGAGGAGGGCTTGGGATCTGATGGGCTGCATTCACCCACGCTGGCAGAGTTACTGCTACCCAGCAACGTGCTGCCATCAGTCTTGCTGATTAAAGGTGTCTTCTGGGTTGTAAGTCCATCAGAGAGCTCGCTATGGCTGAGGTAGAAAGTATAATGGGTAAGATGGGTCCATCAGTTTTCCCAGGGCAGAGGGTATAACTTACTGGTTGAGCAGAGTTTTGAGGACAATTTTCTTCTGACTTGCCAATGAAGAAAAATCAGGTGTAGACTAGCTGGAAATAGTATTGATCATGCATGCCCTTATAAAGACTGAGAGAAAATAAAGCACTTTTCATTCATGAAGTGGATATATATTAATCAAATGTGACTAAATGAATTATTTTTTATTTTGAATGCATACATGTTACAATTCCATTCTTGTGTTCTTCCTTCCCCATAGGTAAAGAAACTGAAAACTTCCCAGTTTCTTTACCCATGGAGAAGGAAGAACACAAGAACGGTTTCAGGTTTTTTTCCGGTGATGAGGCTTTCTCTTTCAGCCCCTGTAGACGAGTCCTGCCATCCTGCAGATCCTGCCAGTTTCTGGGAAATTCTGGTGCTGTCTGTGGGCTGTGTAGGGAGACATCCATGGCAAGGGATACTCTGGTGAATACTCAGCCTTCGATGATGCCGGGAGCAGGGCACTCCACACAGCCCCTCTAAACGTAACTGCTGAACGTAGAAAGTGGTGCCTCCTTGTGTGTGCACCTCTGGTGCAGCAGGGTGGGACACCTGGACTTCTGTGCTCCCGTGTTTTTGGTCATAGAGACCTCCAGCTTACTCTTTTTAGTGCTTTTCCATAATCTGAAATAAGTCAGTATGGCTGATCATGATCTCTGTAAGGGAAAGCAGTGATCCCCATTTTGGACTTCCCATGGTTTTAAAGTTTTTAGCTATTTACCATTTTCTGTCTAAGGAGTACTGTTACCTTAATTTTTCAGTGCAAAATGAAGTGAGATTTCTAGATACTTGACTACTGGTTTCTTAGCTGGCTAGTGCACTGGGCTGGTTCATTTGGTGACCCACAGGTAAATGAAGATGCTCAGTTTCAGAGCATGCAGATATGTTTTGCCAGGAAATAAACAGGCTTTTGTAATATTTGTTCATCTACATCTGTCTGTTAAATCCATTTCTGCCATGCAGAAGTAGCAAAAAACATAAGCACATAAGCAACAAAAAAACCATAGTACTGCACAGTCTATCAAAAAGAAATATATATAAATGTCACTACTGCACACTTTTTTGGAAAGTACCCAACTGATACTTGCAGTAAAATTTTGTCAGCATGTTGCATTTGTTTGGGGGCAGTAACTAGCAGGCAGCAACTGTATGCTGAAAGATGTTAGAGCGAGGGAGGGAAGAGGGAGAGGAAATTTTTCAGTAAATATCCTCAGAGGTCATAAACAAATGTAGCATAAACATCGCTCCAGCTTCTCACTAACAAACTGAGCTTAAATAGTGATTGTTCCATCTCACATCTGAAATACTGTTCCAAATAACAGTACCAGCCTTGTTTTAAAGGAAGGGAAAACACTGAAGCTCATTCTTGAACAGAGTTGACATCCATTATGTTAATTCACATGTAAAAAAAAAACCAAAACAAAGGGCATTGATATTTAATGCTAGACTAAAGGTTACTTACATGTAACTTTTTTTTTAGTGTACTTGCAGATTCAGTCAGTTTAGTGGATTTTTCTCCACTTTCTCTGTTAAGAGTTAACACTGACTAGACCGTATCTTTTGTTTTTTCTGGAGTCCTATAGTAAAGACGCTGTGTAACTTAAGACACCATGAAGTCTTTTTGGATAGGAAAACTTCCTGCACTCTGAAAATGGGATCTTCTGTAGCCCTAATCAAAGCCAACTGGATTAATGTTTGCTTCTTGCTGTTTGAGTCTGTGATGCCATCTACACATTCCTCCAGTGACCCTCTGCAGTATATAGAAAGTGAGTGTTACTTCACCTTGTCTTTGCCAGGCTGCTGGGACCATGAGGATTTTTCAGAATCCTGTCTGGGGGAGATGCAGGCCTTTAGTGTCTTCCTGTCTTTTCTCTGACTAGTTGCAAGTTTTCCTAGGCATAGTTGCCCTGGTGGGTTTGGGGACTCTTAAGATAACTCTGGAATAGCAGATTGAGTGTTAGATACCCCTGTGTCGCAGGGAACTCTTTGGTTCTGTTTTCTGAGGAGTGAATATTTGCCCCAGACTCAGAGTTAGTCCTGCAGCTGGTGGAGACTGTGACCTCCCAGATGCTGCTCTGTGATGATGGCAGCGGGTCAGAAGCTTGAGGGGAAGCCATGCAGCAGCTCGTCCCCTGCAGGGAAGTTGTGGCAGCTGCTGCTTGTTGTCAGTCTGGTGTGGAGCCCCACTGGAGGCAAGTCCACCAGCCCTCCTTCTGTCCTGGTAGGGCAGCCAGACCACTTGCTCCCAATGGCCCCTGACATCCCCCAGAATAAAATAAGCCCCTCGTGACAGACTCGAGGCTCCACGTTCACTAGGAGGCTTAATGAACCAGTATCAGGCCTCACAAACTCCTAAAATAAGAGATACAAATTTTGCACAGCCCTATAGGTTTATAGGAAAATAGGGTGAGAGTTTTCTCTTCAGTTAATTCCAAACAAAACCTCGTAAGTTTTAGGAAATTTTGCCTCTCAATTGGGTAGCTCAAGGTTGAAACTGAACCTGGTGCAGGTTGAAATTGATGTTAGCAGCTCATTGACACTTAAGCATTTCAGTGAATTAAATGAACCTTACTGTGTTCACAGGACAGAAAAGGAGTTTAACTGAATATTTTCAGGGTAATAATTTAGAATTTGAAGCCCTTCTGCAGTGAAAATTATTTCAGTTTTCCTTTTAGCAGTGTATAGTTTGGATTTGAGGAATAAAGGAGCATAGCTATGGTAAGCAATAATTTAATTCTCTGATTCATAAAGTTGCTCAGTGAGTCATTGAAGCAGATCCCACCAGTGACTAATATACATTGATTTAAATGGATTTCGTTATCTCATTATGAGTTTTTTTTGGTGACTGTGACGGTACACTCCTTCATTGCCTTAACTAAAAGTTTGAGGGAATTCCTTGTGTTAAATCTGGACTTGTAGGTAAACATGCTGCAGTAAGCAAGAAGACCTCACCCTACTGCAATTATGTTAGATACTTTGTTTTATTGCCAGGTTCAATCAAGCAGAGTAACAAAATAACATAGTTTGCAGCTGAGATAAGTAACTTCTCATTTACAAGTAGGCTTGTCAAGCAAGTCAGAAGACAACGAGGTTCTTAAGACTTAAATTCTCCAGTTCCCATCTTGTTTATGCTAAGCTTTTATTTGGATTACATTTTGGCTTGCAAATGACAAAATTATTGGCCTTTAATTGACTATATTTAATTCACTTCTTCAGTATTCACTTCAATATTTTTATAGATGATCTGCAAACTGAAGGCTCTGTATCCAAGTGGTGTTACCCAGAGATAGCTGTTTTATTACACCTTGCACAACAGGAATACAGAGTGGGATCTGAGAATATGTAAAATGTTAAAACATGTCTGTAGACATTCCACAGCTATGTCTCTGTATTACTTAGGATCTTGATACTGTCATGCAGGTAGAAGTTGAGTCCAAAAGAACCCCACCTGATTTAAGCTTAGCTTGGCAAATTAATTTATTACAGATTATATACTTTTAACTCCAGATGGTGATAAATGGTAATATTAGGTAACATTCCATCTCTGTCCTTGATTTGCTGTCCGATCTGACTCAAGCAAATTGCTCTGGTTTTCAATTCGTTTGCAAATAAAGTGAATTCATTACATACTTTGCAGGCATGTGATGAATTAGGTATTGGAGAAATGAAACATATTGTCAGGATTAATAAGGAAAGATATGAAGTCATGAAAATGTCTCCATCTCAAAGAAGCAAAGTCTGTGGACATTTGA